GGTGCGTACAGAGAAGGCACAGTGAGAGCTTCAGGATTTTAGGCTTGATTTTGCCGGACGAGGTCTCGGCGAGGATTATGTTGTTTACGAAACCCCCCAGTTGCTGGTTGGAGAGTTAGGGGCTTATGCTCTCGGGCCGAGGTCCTGCGGAGTTTGAGGTGTAACCACGTTTAGCGTATGCCAACAGCCGTCTACACCGAAGCCCTGCAACTCTGCCCTCAGGTCCAAGTACCCCAACAGTAGGATACTCTATATACTCCAATGGCGTGTGGCCCCACATTTCTTCTTGCAGAGGAATGGCTTGCTGGAGGTCAGGATATCCAGTTGTCTTAAATCTGAAACCGAACTTTTCCTCAAATAATCATATGCTACACTGCTTTTCAGCTTTCGGCCTTTTCAGCGGGTTTGCGGCGCAAGCCTGCAGTGCGATTGGAATCTAGCTGGACTGTTGGCACAGGCTTTCTGGGTTGCAAGAGCTGAAGGTGGTTGCTTCAGAACTCACCTTGTTTCGGTTTTAGTGATCTCTGGAAAAACTGTTTTGAGCTCGGTCTTGTTCATTCCACGAAGCTTAACAACGTGGCTCGTCGCATGTCGTGCCGGTAAAGTGGAGCCTTAAAGCCCACGAGGGTAGCCCAGTCCAATAGAGATTCCTTAGAGGGAGCCGGAGAGTGGGTCGAAGAATCCCTAAACCCTAAACCCTGAACCCTCGTAGTATAGATCAACTTACCTGTCTGCATAAGGGATAACCTAGCGAACAAACTGCCCTGTGTTGACGAAGGTGCCTATCACCCAGCTCGAAAGGCTGTTCAAGCGGGGCATCGTCATCGAATGCCTATCGCTCTGAGGTGCGACTTGCCATAGCTGAATAGGACACCAAGTAGGGTCCAAGTTCCAAATACCCTTGATTCGTGAAATCTCCAACTTTTACGAATCCCTCCTTTCAACATCAGAAGCGCCCCTGACGTAAAGAACTCGTTGTTTCTTCATGCCCGCCTTTTTGCAGTCTCTGGGACTCCGATGCAGCTTTGTAGCGAACTTGTTAGGTCAAGCCTTTCCTGGCCCAGGCGCTTACGAGGTCATGGGAGCAAGTAACTAGGGTTGTACATAAGATAGTTATACTTTTGGTTATCCACAGGCCCTTTTAAGGTAATCATCACCTTACTTGCTTCCCATGATCCTGCAAGTGGGGCTTCAGAGTAACGATGTTGACGGTGGACGTGCCTTACCGCCCTGAAGCCCGACAGCCCAGCCCACTCCCTGCGCTCGATCCAGGCCCTCACCGACCTCGAGAAAGCCCTGCCAGCGCAGAATGTTGCGGGCCGCCTTGCGGAGTGGACACAGGTCTGAGGGTCTTAGTAGAAGGGGCGCTATCCCGGCTCCATACGAACATATCATCAGAACTCTTCTTAGGGTCCTTGGATTTGGGGTCGTAAGGTTTAGGATTCAGGCTTCACCGGAGAAGGTGTGTGGGGTTCAGGGTTAAGGCTTGCCCCAACGGGCCTTCCTGTGCAGACTTTGCACGAGACAAGGATTACAGGTAGTCTACGATACCCAACTGATATTCGTGTCTCAGTGTTTCAATATTTAGACTGGCTATCTATAGGGAGATATTGTTTCGTATATATGTACGTTTTCAGACTTTCGGTACCTGGGGCTCAGGGTGCAGGTTTCTGGATTTAGCTAGATGCCGCCAGGTGTCGACAGCAACATAGCCGCGGAGCGTGTAACATGTTGTCCTTTTCCGGGCCCTATGGTCCTGTCGAAAACCCAGAGCCCCCAACCCTAAACCCCTGGACCCTATCGAGATTGAGACCACTCAGCAGCGGGCGCACAACGGCCAATGCAGCATGTTGTGCAGGCCCTCGGTTGATTGAAGAGGGCGTCGGAAGCTCACTAGTGATGTGTAGAGTCCTTCATTAATCTAAGGTATCTTCCTTCATGAAGGGTTCTTGGAGTCTCCAGGTGCATTGGGTTTGAACGGTTTTGAGCTTCTCCAGGTGGTACTAGGTGAAGACGCGCGCATTCTTCGAACAAATCTCTGATTAGTTTTACTATCCTTAAACTCAAAAGCTGCATCCCTTTCTCGATAAATGACGGCAGAGAGGTCATTTTGGAGAGTGCACATGTGATAGTGGGTTCCGGGTCTGGAAATTACCGACGCTGATGCGAGAAGGTGCAGTCACCTTAGACGCTCGTTCTCGAACCAGTCAGACTCCTTCGATGCCCCAGCCTGCTTGCGGAGTGGACACAGGTCTGAGGGTCTTAGTAAAGGGCGCTCCATACGAACATATTATCAGAACTCTTCTTAGGGTCTTTGGATTTGGGGTCGTAAGGTTTAGGATACAGGCTTCACCGGAGCAGGTGCGTGGGGTTCAGGGTTAAGGCTTGCCCCAACGGGCCTTCCTGTGCAGACTTTGCACGAGACAAGGATTACAGGTAGTCTTACGATGCCCAACTGATATTAGTGTCTCAGTGTTTTTATTTAGACTGGTTTTGCGGTCATAGCTAGATAGCATCTGTAGGGAGATATTGTTTCGTATATAAGTACGTTTTCAATCCACGTCTATATTGGGACTCAAGGTGCAGGATTCTGGGTTTAGCTAGACGCCGTCAGTTGTACCCTATCGAGGTTAAAGCTGAAAGCCAAAATTTTGGCAAACCCGAAGACCACTCAGCAACGGGCGCATTACGGCCAAAGCAGCATGTTGTGCAGGCTCTCGGTCTCACCCACCTCTCTACGCATCAGGAGGCAGAAGCTAGAAACGACAGCCCACTGCCGGCCCGTTATCAATGGGTCCGGTGGTGATAGTGTTGCTACTTGTGATGCCGCTGGTGAAGCTTATGAAGTCGGGGCGGTTCAAGCAGGCTATCATGGCGATGCTGTTTGTACTTTATGGATGTCGGCATTAACAGTTTTGCTTCAGTTTCAGTTAAACCGGGTCTTGACTTTCAAGCGCAAACAAGTCAAAAGCAGCAGCAGCCAAGGGCAAATTGGCACGGTCATGTTCGATTTTACCGGGGGGGTCCTTGATGCCAGTCGGCTTTTGTTGCACCTAACACATTCGAGTGCAGTGCCTCTTGCCAGCGTTCTTTCTCAGTGGGCGACATGAAAAAGTGTCGCCGCTGTAGAAGAAGAGAAGAGAACAAAGCGGGGTCTACGACCGGACCGAACCTGCAAATGGGAAGCGGAAAAGTCCAAGAAAGCATGCACTCAAGCCCAGGCCTCGTTCAGGCAGACCCACAAAGCCCCAGAGTGCGCCAGGACCAAGAAGAGCCCTTCACGATGTTGTGCTGCTTGGGATAATAACAGTAGCAGTACTATAGTAGTACTATAATATGCTTTGCAAAGGTTTCTCTAGCTCGAGAGCTACACTTGAGGAGACTCCATCTCCATCTGAGGTACCATGGCTCGTATTTTGAGACTCTGAGATCTTCCATTTGTCCCTTTAATAAAGTTGCAGTTTTGCTTCTCTTGTTATAGGAAGTTGTTGTGTTGCTTACACAGTTGCTTGTTGATGCAGCATGATGTACAATGACAAGGTACGACGGACTCAGAATCTTGGTATCTACTCCGAACTATCGAAGCATCAGTCATGGCCCGATGTTTACGTGTGCAGGGGCACCCAAAGGGATAAACAGAAAGGGGTTTGGAGGGGAAGGGACTTGTCAGCGATGAACAGATGCCAGTTCTTGTTTAGTTTTGTTGTGTGTTGCAAGTTGGTCTTACTTGGGTGATGTTGCTGCTGCTTGCTTCTGTTGCGGTTACTCCCTCTTGTTCTACATTCAAATGCAGACCAGCCAACACGGCAGCACACAAGAGCAAGTGCTTCAGGGGGGGCTCTGGGTTCAGTGGTAAATGTCGTTCCTGAGACATGCAAAATTTAAGCAGCCTCTGACTGGTCATCATCGATCTGTTCGGACTTTTTTCTGATGCCTTCTCGTTCTGGCAAGAGCGTCCCCAGCCGCTCGTGCGCAAGCATTCTGGCTCGTAAGCAAGACAGGGTTGTTGACATGCCCGGTCATGCTTTTCGATCTTGTCGCTAGTCGGTGCTTTCAACGCAAAGTCAAGATTTATGAAACCGAGACTTTCGTGCTACGAACAGGGCACTGCACTGTGGAGCCTGTGGCTTGCGCTCGAGACACTGCTTTGGTCCTTTCAGCGAGGCCAGGCGCAATCCCAGCTCCTACAGTTAGCACTGTCGCATCACAGAGGTAGCTAGCAGTTTCAAGGTCGTTAGTCTACAAGTCGGCGTGGTTTCGAATGCACGCGGCTGACAGGGCACGTTGAGGTTGGGGGGCTCAACGAGTTCAGAGCCGCAATAACATGTGCCGTATGTCAGCATTCGTGGAGGCTGCTCGTCGATCCGAACGTTGCACCAAGTTGTCGCTCACTATGCGAAAGAAAGTGGACAGCCGAAGGTAGCCAGGTAGCTCGAAACTGCTCCCCTTGGTGGGACACCACTCCGAATCATGGTTTCTAGGCCGAATCGCTCGCAGGTTCAACGTCCATGGCGCAGGCACGCTCAACGGGTCCATGGCTACACGGGCTATACTTGTTTGGACTGATCTTGCCGGTCTGTGCTTCATTTCTCCGTTTTCTGAGTTTACTTGATTGAGGCCGCATGAGGGCTCCGGTGTGAAGATTAGGAGCAATCGCATAATCTCCCTGCGGTGGAAGTTGTGCCCCGCGCTGCCGACTCTGTTGCCTAGCCCTGAGCAGGGCTTCGACTCAGAACATCGCCGGATGCAGACACTGTGGGGCGGTTCACCGTGCAGTTTGAATGCTTCTTTGGTGCACACTTGTGGCCCAAGCATCGTCTGCTTCCATTAGGCCGACCACCCACAGACAGACCCTACTTCGCAATGCTCAGCGTTCAGCTGCCAATCCGACTGCCCCTGGCATCGGCGCCTTTGCCAAGCACACTTGCGCATGGAGAAGCGCGAGCTCGGGGCTGGACCTGCAACAGCTTCACCATGCAGCAGCTTGACGGAAGCTGCGGATGTACATACAGATCGATTTTTTGGATGAGACAGCGCTGGTGGAGATAATTGGCATGATCATCTTCATGCTGACGGTGCTGTTTTCCGTTGTAAGCTTGCTGGACTGGTTGAAATACCATTCATTTTCTTTGCCTCTGTCGCTTGTGGCCCTCATCATCTTGACTCTCCTCCATGCAATGTATCGAGTCTTTGGAGAGTGTGTGGCCATCAACACTCTATGGGATAATGACAATCGGGCGCTGTCGCTCCCCAAGCTGAGGCAACACGCATCTTTCCTCCGAGCGATGCAGAACAAAGTCGCCGTCTTCGAGAACCGACAGGAGCTCTTCCCCTTGGCCGTGACCCGAAACCTGCGCAACGGGTGGGTGGCCACTCTGATTGTGACTTCCCGCAATTCAGATCGCAAAGCCCCTGATTCTGAACGGCCTCCTTCGATGGCAACTCCAAGGATTGCTGGACCTCATCGACGACATGTTTCACAATGACAACGCATATATGGAGTGAGCGAAGCCAAGCAGTGCAAATGCCCCAAGAACGAAACACACAGAGTGCGAGAGACGATCTGCCCTTGTCCGAGTGAGTGAGCTGTTGTTTCAGCAGCACCTTATGTGCTTCGCCGATGGCAGGCAACTCTGAAACTCCTCTTCTGCGCAGCATCGCCCGATGTGGAGGCATTACTTGAGCTGGGCTCTTGTTACATGCAGAGCTTGTCACCCTCAGCAAGAACCCATCGAGATGTACGACCGGGCTTGAGGCAACAGTTCTCAGAAGCCTTTAAGATGTTTGGGATCGAAGCCCTCCCCTCGCCTGCAGGTGAAAGCTTGAGGCTTGAGCGTGGAACAGAACCCTTTGAATGGCTTCTGTGCCACGCTCCAGCTTTCTTTGGCAGAAAACTTTGACCCAGCTTTCGGTCGTGAGCTCGGATGCCAAGGGGCATGGGTACTGCAGACACCACTGCTAGCTGCTAGTACTACTACCACGACCAGTACTAGCAGCGATCAGGATGCTCAGCGCGAGGTCGAAACTTCGCGACATGTCGTGCTCTTCGTTGGAATCCTAAACCAAGGCGCCTGCAACGAGTCTGTCGTGTGATTCGTTTGACGTGCCGTTTTGGGCCTCCAGCCTTTCGTGTGGCTAGATTGCTGCTCAGCTGCTGTGACCTTCACTTCCATACAGCTGTTGCGAGTCCGTGGCTTGATTAATCTCCAAACTCCCCCAAAGCGCCATCCGGTTCCGTGTGCCTTAGGCCCCAAACCACAAAGTTGCAGGGCCCCATGCAAATCCTGCTGAACCCCTGAGCAGGGCTTCGACTCAGAACATCGCCGGATGCAGACACTGTCGGGTGGTTCACCGTGCAGTTTGAATGCTTCTTTGGTGCACACTTTTGGCCCAAGCATCGTCTGCTTCCATTGGGCCGACCACCCACAGACAGACCCTACTTCGCAATGCTCAGCGTTCAGCTGCCAATCCGACTGCCCGTGGCATCTGCGCCTTTGCCAAGAACACTTGTGCATGGAGAAGCGCCCGCTCGGGGCCGCGGAAAGATGTCGCTGGCAGTCGGCGGCGTAAGTCTCTGTTTCTGCAAGGCGATCATGCAGAAGAAGGGGCGTGCCGCTGCTGCTGCTGCTGCTGCTGCTGCTGCTGCTGCTGCTGTGCGCGTGGTTTGCCAGGCCAGTGATGAGCCCCCTTCCATGGCTCAGACTGCGATGCGGGGCCCCTTGACCGCAACAGGCTCGGGCAAACCGCTAACGGCCGAAGAGCTCGAGGCTTGCCGTGAGGAGCTTGAGGAGATCAAAGCGAAGTATGGTCTTCTGGAGCCGGAGCGCGCCCACATGGATGAAGAAGGCATCAAGTGGCGTTATGGAGGAAAGCCTGACTACTCTCTGACAAACCTCCTCTTTTTGAAGGGGAAAACCAAGAACCACCCCGAATGATCCCTTGAGTTGATTGTGGAGAACCTGGTGAAGACGTGGGAGATGGAACGCTCCCACAAGACCGATCCTGATCAGCATCGGTCCGTTGACCCGGAGAAGTTTCACATCTCGGCCAATGGATGGAAGAAGTTCGACAACAAGGAGGCCAATCGAGTCGGGAATTACAATGTCTTGCTGGCTGGTTGCCCTGCGGCAGTCTATGACGCCGAGAACATCACTTGGGAGCAGTCGCATGTCCTGCGCGGCAACAAGACGCCGGAGGAGCTCAAGGGGGCACAAGACCGCGTGGGAGCTGGCTCCGTGGAGGGGTGCCCCCACCTTGCCACACTCCAGGCCAAGGACTCCTGAAGAGCCTCTGAGTGTTTGGGCCCATGAAATATGATAGGACCCTCTGTTTTGAAAGATTTGAAAGAGGTTCCTCTTTCGTGAGATAGAAATGTGGACACACTGAGTGGTCCGCATAGTTTTTTTTCTGAAAAATGAAGAGGGTGACTGGGGCTTGACCAGACGATGCTACACAGTGGCACACAAGACCACGCTCAAGCGTGCGACATTTCAGCCTATGGTGCCACAGCATGTTACTGTACACTATACTATAGTCGTCTATAGTCAATGTTACGGAAGTACTGCATGATAATTCGGCAATCCCTTGGCCCCCTTCGATCTGTTCGTCTCGAGTCACTGGATGATTTGTGGCAGCTCTGACAGAGAAGCTCGTCAACCAGTGCATGCTGTCACCATGTTAGTCAAAATGAACTGTTGAGTTGCTGTAGACAGTCGTTTCGGCTTTTCGCACTGCATAGTATATGACCGTGGATTCTCTTGTATGCAAGAACAGATAGAATACGTGGTCTACAGTATTCGGGTCACTGGCGAACGTGGCAAAAGCTGACACTTCGAGGTTTGCCGCAGAGGGTTTCTGCCAAGAAAGATTTCTTTGGCAGAGAATGTTGACCCAGCTTGGGGTCGGGAGCTCAGATGCCAAGGGGCATGGATACTGCAGACAGCACTGCTAGCTGTTAGTACTACAACCACTGCCAGCATTAGTAGTCGTCGTAGTGGTAGTGAGTGGTGAGTGGTAGTGAGTGGTAGTGGCAGTGGTAGGCAGTAGTAGGAGTCGTAGCGGTAGCAGGAGAAACCGGGGGATTGTGTTGGATGATGGTGCAAAATGGCTCCGCTTCCCTTTGCTGGTACAGAAATCTGGCTTGTGTGATGTTATGCCGGAACTGCACCTGCTTTCGCCCACCTGAAGCAACTGCTTCCCGTTTCAGGACTAGTGAAGTATACCCCAAAGAAGCCTCACCTCATCGACGTTGCAGCAGCTGGCAAGTGAATGCCAGCGGTAACAGGTTCAACAGAGCTTCTGAAGGAAGCCATGAACTCGCCAAGAAGAGAGCCCTTCTCAGTGTAACAGTCATGGGCCTCATTCCGAAAAGTTTCGAAGTCGCCCGGGAAGGCTCTCCCGCTCCGGGAAGCTCCGTGCCAACTCCGCCGCCGCGAAGATGGTCGAGGCCTTGAGCCCGCCAGGGGCCCAGAGTTTACGACGCGAGCACGCCCCCGCAAGTCACATCCGAAGGATCCGAAGATCACTCAGCCGTACTGGGCCAACTTTAGCGATGCATGGTGTTCAGAATGACCCGAGCAGTTAATCGGGAGAAGTCCAAAACTGCCACCGACCAAGGGAGCCCTCACTGTCCGGTGACTTGCGGCGGGAGCCGGAGGTCAGAGATTTTCTCACCAGGATGCTTCCAGGTTTGAGACTTTCGACTGTTCCCGCTTTGCAGAGCTGCATGTTGCAGAAACATTAACATGGGACGATGTAGGGTGAGAGTCGGGTGTCCTGAGAATTGAGAGCCCCAAACAAAGACACGCTGTGCCAGCCGGGGCTACGTGGGCCTGAGAGCTTTCGCAGATCCAATGTCGGCGTCAGAGAAAGCAGACACGGCTGGACGACACCAGACACAGTTTAAGACTAAGACCTACAAGTATTCCTCTCATCAGAGAAAGCAGACACGGCTGGACGACTCCAGACACAGTTTAAGACTTAGATGTACAAGTCTCTGTCTCCATGCAATGCTCACTCACCTAACCGAAAACGAAAGCTGCGAAAGCTGCTCTTGGTCCAGTTCCATTGTGCAGCACCGCGGCCACTTCCTCCTTGGGAAACCGCCGAGGAGGCCTTTTGCGGGCCAGCCTCTTCGGGGGAGAGGGAGAAAGAGGGCCGAATCCAAAGTGCTGGCAACAGCAGCGGAAGTGATCAGAGCAATGGAATAGAAGCTGCAATTAGTAATCGGCAGATTTCCAAGGCAACAGTGGAAGTTGGATTATGCAATATCTGTAGCAGCCCTGTCGTTTCCGTAGCTTGGTGGTGTTGATGGTGGACAGTGATCCATAGACTGCCATAGTCAGAGACTGCTCGAACCTGCTTCCTCTTGTCAACGTTTCTCAACAGGTAGTGCGCGTGCGCCGAAGACCGGCGAGCGCAGGACCTCAGGCGAGCATCTTGGACACTGACGTATGAATGGGCACATGCTGCAAGTGCACGTGAGTTCAGGTCAACGTCTCATGGGATACATTCTCTAGAGCGGAACATGCCATCGAGATCAGAGTGCAATAACGGAGAAATTGCAAGTTTGATGCTGGAAGGAGCTACCGTAGCAGTGCACGCAGCACCAAAGCCGCAGATGCATGGTGCGGGCAAAGCCGCCTACGACAGTGCCGACACCGCCTGTCTCCGACTCCTCCCCGAACCCGCTTCGCTGTGAGCAGAGTCCTGTAAAAGTTCGGAGAGTCCTTTACCAGTCTCGCAGCACCATGCAACAGTCGAAGAATCCAGCAAGGACAGGGAAGCGCTTCAACAGCCATCTCACATCCCGCCCGGGCCCTTTGGGATCTGCCGAGGCTGACGCAATTGATGCCCAAAGCACGTTGACCGCGTCCACGACGAGAGGGAGGCACAAGGATAGTCGGTTTGGGCTTTAGGGTTACTCATCTTTCATTGACCTTGCTCTGAAACCTGGCAGTTTGATTGTGATTGTCCGCAAGACGTTGATAAGCCGGAGCTCAAGATTATGGGTTCGCAGCAGCAACTGGCTTTCATTCCTGTAATTCCCATGTTCCTGTCGTTGTCATGATGTCTGTCATTGCCTACATTGACGCTGTAACCGCGCTTGCGACTTTTTGGCACTACCTGGTGACTTAGTCTTCTCCCGTGCGGGCGAAGGCACAATTGCGAGCCGCCCGCATCTGTCTCACAGAGCCGAGCGCAGCTGCAGACCCTACAGGTGTGCCTTGAAAAAGACAGTCACGCAGCCATGACGAAGGATTGTTACAATACTCCGCTGATGATTATCAACAGGATGATGGCTTCCGGATCAAGCTAGGCCTTGCAACAAATGCCATTGCGCAAACCGTTCTCTAGTTTCATTGCATGGCTTGCATTGTGTGCCTGCGTTGTCTGATGTTTGCATTTACTCAGTCAAGGCGGGTTTTTGACATTCAAGTGCAAAGACGCCACAAGCAGAACTTGACGCCTCTTGGTTTTTGCACCTGCGCTGCTGCATCAGAGCGGCTTCCCTCTTGGAACCGTTATGGCCCATCGGTCGAGAGCCGTAGGTTTGCGCACAAACACTGCAGCTGAGCCACGGAACAACTCACCATACAGGGCATCGACATCTGGCATTGCAGCCGTGCTGACTGTTGAGATCCCTCTGTGGAGCCATCTGCTCGGTGCACCTTACGAGTCCAGGCGCCAGCCCAAATTCAGATCCCCATCTCACGGCTGCATGCTGCATGGTTCTTCGGGTTTTTCAGGTCTTGGATTCGGGGTTGCGCCGAATGTGCAAAGTGTTGAGGGGACAGGCTGAGACATTTCAGGGAGTGAAAGCCAGTTTCGGGCGATGAAACGACGAACCTATGTTCCGGATGCTTGGAGAGTGTTTGAAAGTATTGGCCTATGAAGTTGAGTTGTTACTGTTGTTCGTTACGCTAATCAGGCCCAACCGGAAGTACTTCGTGTAGTCCGGCATCTGCAGAGGAAGCGGGGTGTTGTTTTTGATGATGTCGCAAATAGCATGGCTCCGCTGCTCGCTGTCTGTCCGTTTCGCTGTAGAGGAAGATGTACCAACTGGGCTTGTCACGATTTCATCTTGTCTTGGAGGTCTCCGATGTCATCAAGACTGTCATGGATCTGGTTGTGGGTTCGTCGGTCTAGGATGCGTCCTGCGTCCTCTTCTTTCGGTCCTCTCTGCATCTGACTTCTCCCTCTCTTGGGTTGTGCAGGGGTCCAGGTCTTGGAGCGATTCTCTTGGCTTCTTTTTGTCCCCGTCCCGGCATGAGGGTGGCCGTATGAAGAAACGCTAAGACCCTCAGTCCTAGACCTTACGAAGCTTCGGCCGCAGAGTATGTCTTTTGCATCGAGTGCCGTCGGGCCATCTTTGTTCCTGCCAATGCCTGAACCTGCACGGCTCCACGCCCATGACAACTTGTTTACTGCTTGGTTTTTTCCTGTGGCAACAAGACGAGGAGGACAATTTTATTGACGGTCCGACAGAATCCGCGATGAAGCAGCATATCTGTGAGAATGTCGTTTCAGTTCTGGCTGCCTTGTGAACAGGACAATGCGACGAGAAGAAGCAACATGTCGAGGATGTGCGTGGCAATATCCTTTGGTGTTCCGATGTCATTTGCCACACAGCACGTGGCAA